AATTTTGCATGCAAATGGATGGAAATAGAACACACTATCCTGAGTGAGGTAACCCAGATCCAAAAAGATGAACTTGGGATGTACTCACTCATAATTGGTTTCTAGAGATAAATAAAGGTCAGTGATCTCCTTAAGAAGCTAAATAAGAAGGTGATCCCAAAGAAAAACACTTTAAAATATCTTAATGGTTAAAAATATAAAGAATCAACTAAAAATTACAGTGAGATATTCTACTTTATGCTAGTGAACAAGAATATCATCTATCATAAAAGTTTTAAAAACATTATAGTCATTGTAACAGACAGAAACCATAATATAAAACCACAACCAGTCAAAATGCAGGACTATCAGGCCCAGTCCCAATGGATACATCTACAAAACCCCTTCCTCACCCTACACTAAGAGTTGTCAGAATGGCTGTAAGAACCAAAGGTTCAGAAAATTTGATATGAGACTGTGTCTCCTAGCATGGTCAGAAGATTCACATATAAAGTCTTCCCAAGATATCCACCTAAACACAAACTGGACAAGGAGAACAATAGACATGCTAAAGTGAACAGGGAAAAGGCCTCAATGTCGCAATACTATACAAGGAACCACAGTTAACTAAGGAGTGCTGAAAGTGGAAGAGTCTTCTCCAGGGAAGACCACACCAACTGATTATCCGATACCAAATAGTCACTCTAAAAACACACATGCAAGCAACATTGCACAAACCAGGCACATTGTATTTAGAAATATATGTGTCTATAAATATTCATATATGTATGCAGCAACCATTAATGAAAAGAATGCCATGATTTTGAAAAAGATCAAGAAGTGGTATATGGAAAGATTTAGAGGAAGAAGAGAGAGCAAAATCATGTAACTACATTATAATCTCAAAAAAATGAAAGAAGTAATAAAAATTTTAAAAAATTTATACACTGCAATAACTGGCTTATTACTTGTATTTAAATTTCTGTATTGTAATACACTTGTTTACATATTTTTTATTTTACAAATTGTCACTTTTTGAAATAAACAAAATTCTAGGCAAGAACTCTGAAGAAAGAAAGTTACACAAACTGATTTTCAGTCATGTGGACCTAAATTAAAACTCAAGATTTTTCCTGTTCTCTTCAATGTATGCTTGTACATGTGCATGTGTTTGTGTGTGTCTGTGCATGTGTGTATATGAATGAAATTAAACCCTTATCTGTCACCATCCACAAAACTAACTTCAGATAAATCAAAGGCCTAAATTCAAAACCAGTAATTTATAAAAGAAAGCATAAGTAGTACTCTATGTGATATTAATAAAGGAAAGAGCTTCATAACAGAACTTCATTTACCCAATACTTAAAGCCAAATATTGATGAGTGAAACTTCATAGAAACTGAAAAACTCCCAAACAGTTAATCAGTTGGGTGAAGAGGAAACATAAAGAATAGAAGAGAATATTTGCCAACTAAATATCTAATATAGAAAAATATCCAGAATATTAAAATGGATCAAAACATAATGAATAAAAATTAAAAAAATAGCTTATTCAAAAAAAAATTGGCTTGCCATCTGACCAGAGAGTTCTCAAAAAACCACAAGTAAAAATGACTAATAAATATCTTTAATAACTTGTCATTGCTAGCTATTAGAGAAAAGTGAATTCAAACAACTGTGAGATTTCATATTACCCCAGTGAGAATTGCAAAAATAATTGAAAAACTGACAAAAAAATTCTAGAGAGGATGAGAAGAAAATATAAACCTCATTTACTGTTGGGGGAATTATAAACTAGTCCAGTCACTCAGGAAATCAGTCTAGAGAAACAAATAAAGATACAACATAAATCTACCATATGACAAAACTACTCTATTCCTTCCATTTGCTCAAATGACTCAATCAACACACTGCTCCACAGATACCACCTAGGTCAGTCATGTTCATTGGAAACAGACTAAAAGTTCTTCAGTGAAAATTGGATAATAAAATGTTGCACATATATATTATAGAATAAATAAAAATGACATTTGAAGGCAATGGATGGAACTAGAAAAGATCATATTGAGTGAGGTAACCCAGATGCAGAAAGACAGACGTTACATGTTCTTACTTGTTCGTCTGATAAGCTCCTAGATCCAAATCCACATTCAAGTAACTGAAGGAAAGTAACAGTAAAAAAAATCTCTGTAGTAAAGAAAGAGAAGCAACAGGTAGCAGAATAGAAGGGTGTAGGTGATATGAAAGGGGAAAAGTGCTTTAATTAAGTGAAGTGTAAAAGAAATATAGAAGATGGAGATTGAGAGTAAACTGTATCTATGTCTGAAGATCATAGGAAATCATACTATTAACTATCTAACTAAAAATTCCCACAATACATATAAATCTTATATATAGAACACCCCCCATACACAATATTTTAATGAAATATCCCAATTATGCTGAAAATGTTCTCCCCAAGAGCCATAAACTATCAAAAAATGAAGAAAAAAAAAGGAAATGAAAAGATCAGGTAGGACACTGTTTTTTGAGTTGTTGCTCAGGGTTGTCAAGAGAATCCCAAAACATTACAGACTATTGTTGTTGCCCTTGATTGCCACCCAGAGGTAGAAGAAGGCAAGTCTTTATTGCACTTCAGAAACAGACCTAGATGATCCAAGCTGGATATAGCATGTTAGTTCCCTCACTGAGGACTAGCTTTAGACATCATATAAGCTTCCAAAGCAGGAAAGGGACCTATAATCCTACCCAGCTATGATTCCTATAAGCAACAGTAATGACCACCAGGGTGTGGTAATGCTACAATTACAGTAATCACACACATTATCTTGATAGTAACCAAGAGCTCTCTGACAAAACTTAAGCCTGTTCAACAAGAGGAACATTGTGCCTCATACTGGAAACCTATCCAACCACCTGGGGCTAATGTAGTCCTAGGTACTGGAGGAAAATTTACCACTATCATGTTACTAAGCCGGCATAATCACCAACTGCATTCTTTTTATTTGTCCTTTTATCCAAAGATCAGCACAGTTCTCTCTCCTCACCCAGGAAACTTCTCTTAGAAATATATGCAGATTATTACAGAAAACCAGAATTGATAAAAAAAAATGCAGGCAGACTTGAAGAGTTTAGTGAAAACTGACACACCTAAAACACAACTCTTACATCTAAGGCCTAGAGATCATTTGGGAACAGGTGTTGGAAAGATTATATAAGCCAGAAAAACAGGAAGTTATCTGTGAGGTTGTGTTGGCTATGAAGTCAGAAGCTACACACATGACAGCTCACCAACATGTCTGCCTAAAAATGAACTGAACAAGAATGACACCAATAGACACTAATGTGAATGGGATAAAGATTAGGAGGAATCAACCCTAGACATAGAACTACAGGAAACTGAGGAAAACTGAGATTAGGCGAAACAGCGTTCCCTATGAAAAAGAACACTAATTGGTTATCCAATACCAAATGGCTAACCTTGAAACTGTATACATCCAAGTCATATTACATAGGTATATTAGGCTATGTTTATATATTTAGGAATATACTTATATATGTATACATATGAGCAACAACAATTCAGAGACGTCACGAAGTTTAAGGAGACCAAATGAGGTATATGGGAAGGGTTGGAGAAAATTGGAATACTCATAAGGATTATCTCTGATGCTAGACTTGGAATAAAGAGAACCTCATTTAGGTTTCCTCAGACCAACCATGAGAGAAACCACTCATGCCATTGCTGGAGTTCTGAGGCACAGTATTGTTGTCCAATGAGCTGCTAAGAAACGGAGTAACTCATTAGTTGGTAATAGAAATATA